TCCATATTGACTATTCTTTCACCTCAGTGAATAGCATGCTGTGTAGTTCTAGCTTTTGTGTTGAAATATGTAAATGTGTCTTTAGCCCCATTAAACATTGGTCATAGCAGAAAATTTTCTAAATGTATTTGACCTAATGAAACCATTTTACAGCTTCCCACTAAGGTTTTTCCTCCTACAGCTTTATAATGAAATAACATGGACTTTGGTGGGTAATGGAATTAAAGTGCTCTTGCATAATAAGTTTTGCGTAACCCTCTCATTCATGAAAAGGTGCTCCTTGCTAGACAGAAACTTACTGATTTCCAGTATTGTTATTTTTGTCTAAAGTTCTGTAAATACATGCTTTAATGTTATCTTTGAGAAATCTATGTAAATAATATAGTCTACAACAACATAGAGACTGTATAATTATGTGTTATATATGTGCCTAGTGCTCTGTTGGCACTCAATAAATTTTAAGTAACAAAACTGATGAGCTTATAGTGAAGGCATATTTTTCTTCCGAGCTTGAGACAGGATGTGACTATATACTAATGAGACTCTAATCCAAGCCACACATGAAAACTTGTCTCATTACTTTATAGTCATGCCATGTATTTTTTTAATTATAAAATAATAAAAGTGATTTTAAAAATGAGAATGTTTTGAATAAGTGACTTCTGTCCTGATCTTAATGACCATGATTAAAGTATTAAAGGAAACATGGTGTTACCCCTCTAAGGAGCAAGAGTGGCCCTACACAATTAACCACATAAGGCACCTGGCCCCTTCCTCTTGGGTCACTTTTGCCCTCTAGTAAGTTAGAATTTAATGTATCTCTAATCAAGATAAGTTTTAGCTTCCTGCACTCTTACTGCTCAGCTCTTGTCCAAGTACATAGAACATACATTCATAATTTTAACTGGTACACCAGCCTCCTGCGGTAGCAAGACCAACAGCAGTTACCACCAGGTATTCTGTCAAAATAAGTCCAAGATTACACTGGGTATGAACAAGAAATGTTAACGCACAGTCACATCACATGCTCAGGTAAGCAGACCCACTTCCTTTGAGGATAAAATCACATTTAAGTATTAAAAGGTTATCATTAAGTTCTCTTGTGGATTACATTCTCAAGTACAATCCACAGTGGATATATTCATGATAATCTGCTTTTTAAAAATACCTATTGTGAACAGGTGATACAGTTAACATAATTCAAGAATCAGTATTTTTATTTTTTGTTTTTGTTTCTGGTTTTGTTTTTTTGAGACAGGGTCTCACTTGTATTTGAGATTGACCTGGAACTCATTATGTAGCCCAGGCTGGTCGAACTCACAACAATTCTCCTGCCTCAGCCTCCTGAGTGCTGGGATTACAGGCCTGTGCCACTACGCGGCCAAGAATCAGTATTTTTAAATATGGTCAATGAAAAGTCTCATTCCCAACAATGGATTTCATCCATTGCCTGAAATCAGTGTTCCAATTTCTGCTTCGAGGCAAGGACAAATTTATGAATATTAACCACCTAGGAAGAAGTAGAACAAGTGCTGTGGAATTGTGTTCTGGGACTTTAATTATGGACAGAATAAACTTCATTTGATGATAGGGAAGTAGGAAGTGGAGAAATGTCTTTTACGGTAGTATTGGGGACTGAAACCACAGCCTTCACTTTGAGCTATAGCCACAGCCCTTTTTATTTTCAGCAAAATATTTTTCTTGAATATTGCTAAATTGCCCAGGCTGATTTTAAACCTGCAGTCTTTCTGCCTCAGCCTTCCAGAGGCTGGTATAACATATACATCACCACGCCCAACTAGAAAAGTCTTTCAATGGAAAACAAAACGAAATTTGACAAACCTACTATTGTTTGAATTTTGAGAGGTCTTATTTAGCAAGGGGAGATTACAGATTGACTAGTATATGGGGTTAGACAAGACTATAAATTTTCTCCATAAACACAAAATGCCCCAAAATAAGACTTGACAATTCTATGGCAAGTGTGACATACTGGTAGACCCTAAAGGGCTCTTTACGAAGTGTAGCCTGCAAACCAAACGTAATAGTTTTAAACAGTACCCTTGAGAAGCTTCAGAATCCCGTTCATTATGACTTCCCTAAACTGATGAGGAAAACCCTTTTAGAGAAAACTTAGTGATCTAAATAAACAAATACTATGTACATCTAAATTGGGAAAGATACCACTCGGTGGCCAAAAAATTCACTCTTGCAGTTACCTAAGACAGTCAGTTTTTGAGTTACAAATGAGATCCTCATCCTTAGGTAGAACTGATGGTTTCTTTAAAAGAGTAACTTCGATTCTAAGGGATGTGAAAGCTAGCACAAATACATAAATCACAGTTCTGAATGCACACAAAATAGCCACTCATACAGAATAGGTACATCTGTTGCTCAAGTTAATTTCTGGTTCCAAACAGTTATTTTATGTGGTGTGTAATTACTTACAATGGGTTCCCCCTGCCCCAAATCTGTAATTTCTTTGGCCCATAGGGACTGGAGGGTATGAAAAAAGGCAGGTATAACAATCAGAAATTTGAAGCAATGGCTTTGGGTTGCTAGCATCGGGACTTTAACTGTGGAGAAATACAACACACACAGTGAAGTGCACAAAATACAAGCGGAGCTATATTAATTTGTAGCAAACTCCAGTCATCCCAGGCCTCTTGCACCCTCACTCCAGTCTTGACCCCCTTTCACTATCGTATCAGAACTACATATCCAGAGGTAATCCTTCATAAATACTTTCAAATTTTTGAGTCAGGGTCTTGCGACATAATTGACTGGCCTCAGCCTTATATTGATTGCACCATAGCTGGCAGCTTTAATATTTCTATTTTAATAGAAATATTAAAATACAGTATTGGACTGCACTGTCCTTTTTCACTCAGGTTCACTTGTTATTGGAAAGAGCAGTATTTTTATTGCTGAATAGTATTTCAACATTGATGGCATTTAGGTTTGCAACTATTATAAATGATGTTACAAATATTCTACTCTTGCCTCAAAACACTTGGACATGTTTCTGTTGGGTATCTACCTAGGAATGGAACTGTACCCATTACCTAGTAAAATACTGCCACAGGGAAGTCTTGAGTTTGAAAATCTGGACACAAAAAGTCCAAATTGATTTAAGGAAATTTAGAATTATCCAGAGGTGCCTCAGAATGCAGTTTGAGTAGGCAAAAGATGGTTTACCAGGTGTGCACTCCTGACCTTCAGCCAAGCAGGCCCATTTATTGGAATTTTGCCAGAGCTATGTAGTTTGCTGATGGCATGCAGAAGGAATCACATGACTCAATGCAAGTATCTAGCAGAGTATTAGTTGAATTAATTCATTTAGAAGTCTGAAGGATGAACTGCAAGAGGTGACTAGACAAGATGGCCGGCCGCTGTGTGAGTGTATGTGATTAGGTCAAATGATTGAGAACTTCATTTACTCTGGAGGGGGGCAACAGAAATATGGGTGCCATTTCTGCTGCTCAAACTGCTACGCGGGTTAAATGAGAAAGCGCTGGGACCTGCATACTTCACAGACCTAACAGCAGCTGGGTAGACCAGGTGACGCAGAGCACAGGCTTTGGACTCGGGCCCAGCTCTGCAATCTGGTTCTGTCATGACTGAGTGACTTACCTTTCAGGATGTTAGGACAATGCAGATAATACCAGTAAAATTCTCTACACACAGCCAGCACTAAACACTTATCTACTGCTGCTGTAATCCTTCATCAGGACTACTTGCTAGAGCAAAGGAAGATATGCTATTGGCTATTCAGAGTAAATAAAGAATATCTGGGTATGATTTCGAAGAAAGCAATGCTACAATTTTAGAAGTTCTAAGTCCGTTAGGCAAGTGTGCAAATGAAGGACTTGAATTAAGCAGACATCCTAAGCACACCAACACCTGTGTTCGTATGAGTGCTTACACCATTAACTATGTTACACACCTTGGACACAATGACATGTTCTCTACAAAGGGGTTACTTTTGCTACAGAGCCAAGGCTTAGTGGGATCTAAACTCAGAAAAGGAGATTAGAGCTTGTTTAAAAGGGGGTCGATGTGCAAGCTACAGGCACTGCTGCTGCTTCTGAGCAAGGATATAATTAAAATGATTTCAGACAAGCCCTCATTAAATATCCCTCTAGAACAGCTGTGATCTGCAGGAGATCTAGAAGTTAGAGGTTTGTTCCTTAGACACACAGGAGACTTCCTAGATTTTACAATACCCTCACATATGGTGTATTGTTATGGGGTGGACCTTGGTATTACTGTTTTGAGCTCTCCATACAACCTAAAATATGCAAACCACTGGACACAATGCATTTCAATTACTGTAGAGGAGACAAAGCAGTCTTCATTGTACGAGCAAGTCTCCCAAGTAAAGTTTCAAAAGACATGTTATTTCACTTATTCCCTGAGCAGACCTGTAAGGTACGCAAAAGCAGCACCCTTTTATAAGCAACGTGGGCTCAAAGGGTGGCTCCCAAGTCCGGAGAGCACAAAAGCCAAGACACACACCCCATTACCAGACATGGCTTTTTTTCTAGTGGCCACAAGACTGGGAGGACTATGCTCAAACTAGTTATGGCTCTAGAAGGCCACCTCCTTACGTCCGGTTTCTTAGCCCACAAACCCGGTTGGTACTGACTGCTCCCGAACATCCATCAGTTGCCCATAGAGCCCATCCTCCTTGGAAAGTTGTGTGGGGAGCATGAGAAGGCCCTCGAGCTTAAGTTCTAAGTCGTTACCAGTGAGCTGCTGCCAGCCTTCCAGGTTGTAGCCCATTCTCCCGCCCAGTTACTTCAAGCAATGATAATTGAAACTTTCAAAAGGTGGTTTTGGATCATACTATTGTTCTTCACTGTATGAAATCTGAAGCCCAAAGAGGGACGGGAGGGAGTACTCTAAAATCTCTATTTTAATGTTAAAGGAACATCATTCAACCTGATTTTCCTCCTGCCAAATTTAAAATAACAACAAAGTAATTCTACATGAACAAACCCCAAAACTCCCTTCCAATGTTCCAACAAAGGAGTAACATGGACTTTTAAAGAGGGCATGACTCTTTTAACAAACTCTTTAAAGTACAGTGGTGCATCAGTTCACACACTAAATTCTACTACTATAGTCATACACTTGAATTGGATGAGAACAGAAATTGGTGGTCAGGCTCAATGCTGACCTTATGAGGAAATCTGATTCCATTCTCGTCGATTCGTTTGTGACCAGAATCATGGAAAAGAATTCAGTTCATGAACTGAGGTATCATTGGGTATTTTCATACTGCCTTTTAGTTGGATAAAATTTTAAATGTAAATGTGAGGTTTAATACTGATTTAACCACTTCTATTAACCCCAAAGACTGAACAATCTTTTAACATGCAAATGTGATCCGATCAAATACTTCCTATTTAGCCTCTCCCTATGTAACATGGGGTGCCTTGGGAACTTCTATCAATTTTCCACTCCAGCCATTCCAGGCACACCACTGCCATTAGCTCAGGCCACAGACCTCCTGTGCTTGCAAATCCTCTCTCCTGGCCTACTCTAGTTCTTAGTTGAAGTGTTGCTCTTCCAGGGGCCTTGGCTGACCACTACTAATCCCTACTAATCGCTCACATAGCTGAGCACTCACATCGAGCACTAGTAGTATACAGAGCACCGGGGAGCGAGGTTTTGCTTTCTCCTCTGCAGCATGTAACACACAGGCTGGCACAACCCACTGAACAAAGTATATACAACGATATAATCAAAACTGTGCACTGGACACACTGCTGCCTAAGAACCAGTGAATACAGACTCTACCTAACAGTGAAGACTACTGAAGAAGTGAGAACAAAAACCAGTTTGTAAGAGTGAAGAATTTATTAAAAACTGCTTCAAGGTTAAAGGTCAAACACCTTGTAAATAGTAAACAATGGAGTACTATTAAAAACGGGGGGGGGTGCACACAGAGATTTAGCCCATTTGTCACTCACGGTCCTGAGTTCAATCCCCAGTACCAAAAATAAAAATAAAGAGCAATTGGGGCACAGGGCCCTGCACTCCACCTCCAGCACCACTGCCGGAAGAACCAACACACAAGAGGGCACCTGTGTATTAGTAATAATCATTGTGAAAACAACTTAATTCCCAACAGTAGAGGACTGAGAGTAAACCTGTATAATAGAATATGGTCACTGAAAGTTATTCTGTAGAATAGATTTTTTTAATGAAAAATTCTCAATACACCCAAAAAGAAAAGGACAATTATGTGCAGTCTAATCAGCAACCTAAGTTGTGGAACCTTTGGCAGAATTATAAATTTCTCTCCTTTTGTTTTTGAATCTCTTCCCTCTTACCAATTTTCTGAATTCCTACAATGGTGATGTACTTGAGGAAAAAATACTGTTAAAATATGATGACAGTAAACAGCAAGCTTGCCTCAGAGCCTGGACACCTAATCTAAGTACGACGCTAGTGAATGAAATACACCACCGTGTGCTTCTGAAAAAAGTAGGATAAAAGCAAAAGTCATCATTTCCCAGGAAACTTTAGTGATACAATATTAAAGACACTACTGTTTATCAAAAGAATTTATTAGAAAATATTACACGCTACATATTTAAGAGTATCTTTCAGTAGACAGCACTCCAACCTCTTACTACAATGTTTCAGACCCTGGGGTAACCACTTGAAGCTCCATCTTTTGGATGGCGCACGGCACACACTGCAGTCATTTAAAGGAAAACAATGCAGGAAATGTGGTAAGCAGAACTCAACAAAAATCACAAAACTTGGAATGGTAAAACAACGTGTAACTATGATTAGTCTCAAAATTCTAGGTATCTCTGCAATCTAAAACATTGGTCAGTGTAACTAGTAAGTAAAAAGGGACCAAGGTTCAAAGGTAAATACTGAATCCCGATAAAGAAAAAAGATCTGTAGCTCCATAACCTGTTCCTGATGAAGTTTGTGCACATGCAAAATTATTGTGAATTTCTGGGGGTAAGTAGGGGGTGGACAATGTTAAAGCAATGTATTTAAAAGTGTAAAGCATGCATTTTCTAATTAATTCTCACACATTTCCAAGTTTAAAAATTTAAGCTCTAACCCAGCAACATTCTTCATTAACAATTTTAAATGCAGTCTAACCAGTACACCAATCAGATAAGGAAAACATTTGTTATTTTTGAGAATGATGAAAATAATTTATGGGGCTTTTAACTCCTCACCACATCACTTAACTTTTATTCAGAACTTCAAAACTTTGTTGCAAAAGCTGAATGGTAACAAATTTTTTTAAGTCACTCAATTCCCAAATGTCACTTAAAGAAAACATAGGAAAAGCATGAACTGTGTGATTTAACATCTCAGGCACAGCAATTTGCCATAAAATTTCAAAGTGTAAACCAGCTTTAATTCAAAATAAAATGCAAATTCACACCAGTTTATGGAATTTTAAACTGAAACAACTGTGGATGTGTGCATTGGTAGTTAAACCGTCTTAATACTTTATTAGAACAAATATACTTCTGAACTTCTGTTCCCCATCATCTGAACACAAAACTTTAATTAAAAATATATATATATATATATTTTCCCAGTAAAATACCATATTACAAATGCCCAGAAATGTAGAATGAAGATTAAAAACTGCTCGGAAATTTTTTAGGGTCCTAATCATAACCTAACAAAGCTTATTAACTTACAAAGCACAATCACCATGGGGGCCAACATTTCAAAATATTTTGTCTATCAAATCTAGCACCAGGCAAGTATTATGCACAAAAAAAATGAGAAGGGGATAATCTTTAACTTTATAAAAGCACAATCCTACCAATTATTGCTCTCACTAGTTTAGCTAGTAAAAGGATCTGCATCACCAAGTCATATTTATTTGCTTGGATCTGTTAACATTATCTGAATACCATTCCAGTTATTTGGTATCTAGTGAAAATTGTTACTGGAATGAAAGATAGTTTATCATGGAAAGGATTCTTTCATCTTTCCAGATGCCAGTTAAAGTAAGGGTGCTATAAACATTTTAAACTTACCTTTTATGAAAATTAAGGTTATAAACACACTTTTAAAAAGTAACCAAATCCCTAGTCCTTGAAAACCTAACCCAAACTCCATTACTTGCTTCTCATCTCCCTCTGTCAAACACAGATTTTAATACCTAGAATTTTCCAGGAGCAACAGCTATGGTATGGTCATCAAATTAACAACGCATGTGCTGTAAAGCATTTGGGGATTTTTCCCATGCGTAAACATTTCATTAGTGACCAGACAGATAAGCAACAACCTGAAGCCAGTGAGTCAGTCTTGGAATTTCTACCTTAGTCCCAAGGGAGGGAGGGTCGCCACTAAACATTTGTCCACTCGGCACAAATAATTTATCATTTCTTAGAAGATATGATGCAAGAACATAATTTCTACAATGTCAACATGTTCCCAAATTGCTCTTCTAAATTCAATGACTCTGAAGTGCCTAAATTGTAATTTAGCAAATCAAACTGCTTAATCTCAACTGGGGGAAAAAAAGGCACAAAAGAAAAACAGCAGCATAACCTTTATTTGGTGATACATAGGTGAAGAGCTCTCAAAGTTTTGAACACTAAATTTTACTCGTGATAATTTGATTTCTAGCTAAGCAGATATGTGCTTTAAAAATACACATTAGGAACCCTGCAATTGGGTATGTTCTATTTATTAGAAATATTTTTCATGGTAATACATTATTTAACTTTCTATAATTAGAGGAAGAAAGTCATAAGTTCATACTTTATTTTTAATCTGACAGAATAAATGTATTATACATATATCTCTTCCAAAGCCAGTGCAGTTAGAAGTTTCTAATTTATGCACTCCATTGTTATAAGCAAACAGTCAAATCAAAAGGCTGTACAACACCTTCCAGTATCCACAGTACACAGTTCTCGTAAAAATGCACATTCCTTTAAACCTTTGACTCTCTTCTTGAATGTATTTGAGGTGAGGGTGTGGATATGGAAGTTGCAGTGCAGAACTATATTTATTTAGAACAAAACATCCTATCCTACATTAAAAAAAATAATTTTATCAAAACCCATTTCAGTCAGGTATGCATGATTTTCTCCTAATGGTTCGTGTTGGAATTGCACTTCGCAGGCATCTTGGTAATGTCCACACAGCATTCCTCATCTCAGCCTGTGTTGTTCTCAGCAGACACAGGCTCCTCCACAGTTTTCTTTTGGCTCCCCTTCCGTGAGTATTTGTATTTGTCTACATAGGCTTTAACCAGATTTGCCACTTTAGTAGAATTTACTTCTCCACTCTTACTATGACAAACCTAAGAAAAAAGGGAGGAAAACTTTTTTCATGCTTAAAAGGATTAAAGCAAAATGGAAAAATTTGTGAAAAAAAAACCCCAGAGCTAGCTAGCCAGGCTTATTCCAATGGTACAAAAGCAGACAAGAATTAGTAGGAGCTAGGTTTTATTAATTAAACTTAAACAATTTTTATTAAAATAGAAATGGTTCAAAACAATATGCACGTAAGTCCACAAAAACTGTCACTTACTTTATCTACTGCTTTCCGTACAATCTCTTTATATTCTTCCTTGGTGATATCTTTGTTTTGGTAAAATGGCTTAATTGCCAGTTTTACCTCCTGTGCCGCTTTTTCCTGAATTTGTAATTTCTGATGAGAAAAAGATGTATAATTATTTACCACGTATTTTTAAAAATTTCTTTAAAAATATGAAATTCAAAATATAGTACTGTTACAAGGAGCTCTCCATGTACTGCCGGTAACATGACAATTACAAAATAGGAAATGACACATATATCAACTATTCATAAAAATTATGCAGTATTACCAATAACTCACCGAGCAGCAATAGATCTATTATCAAACACTTTAAATAATAATGGAATTTAAGAGTAGTAATCACAAATTCCCCTCACCACTCATAAAGTAACAAAGCTGCCATTTTATCACCTTTATCATATACACAATTATGTAGGTATGGAGGTTACTGTCAACCTTGAACTTGCCTTGTCTGTCTTCGAGCTATCTGCGCTGGCTTCCACTGTAACACTTACTTTGCTTTCTGCCAATTTTACAGCAGCATTAGAGGCTTTGCTGTGACTCGATGACGAAGTGTTACCAGAACTTGGCCCCTGAACTGTTCCCGTATTTCCTGGGGCTGCTGTCGGAGCAGGCAAGACTGGTGTACTCATGTTATTACTTACATGAGAAGCATTAGGAATACCCTGTTTTAAAGAGTTATTGTGAGTTAATGAATAACTTCCACTTAACAGCAGTCTTTTAGTCATGTATTAGAAATAACATTTAAAAATAAAGAATTTCAATGTTAGTATTTAAGAGAAATGCATATGTATCTATCAGTTCATTTATATGTAGTGTTCTTTGAAGAAAAATGAGTAAAATTCTGAAAGAGCCTCATTTAAACATATCAAGATTATTTTATGTGCATTGCAATGTTCTCCCACCAACATTAAAAGCAACAACGAGAACGAACAGCATTTAAAGAATTCTCTCCCTCCTCCAAGGCTCTTTAGAAACATTAACTAAGGCACTGCTTTCTTTTTAAGATGTTAAGTTCATGAAAATGAAACATACATGGTAATGCATAATGAATAAGCTCTATGTAGCATTTGTCCAAGCAAGACAACGCAAGCCTTAGCACAGCAGTTAATCACTAGTCCCTACCACACAGCCCCCAAAGTCCAAGAAAACCAGGAAAAGCTTTCAAGCATCCTCCACTCAATTTTAGTTTGACTCATAATTTGGTCTTATTTGTAGTTTTAGTTCAGTTTTGTTTCTGTTGAAACAAGGTCTCATTAGGCTCTCAGGCTGGCTTCAAACTTGAGATCCTCCTGTCTCAGTCTGCTGAGTGCTGGGAGTACAGGCACGCAACGCCACAGCTGTATTAATAATGTGGTTTTCTTAATCTGACAAAAATCATGTTTGGATATAGGTAATGGTACACATATAGACTAAACTTTGTAAATATATACACTCAATATTCTTGCTTAGAGATCAGATAAAGGTTGGAAAAGGATAATGAAAAAGGAATTATGAAGGCTTACCATGAATGTAATCAAACACCTATTTCTGGATGCCAGGGAGCCCTTTCTTGGATATCTGCTCCTAACAGTTAAAAGTTGCTAATTATATTGATCAAACTTACCTGTGGTTGCTTTCCATCTGGTTGTGCAGCTATGTAGTTGATTTGCTGGGAGGGTGGTGGCGGTGGCGGTGGCGGGGGCAATCCCTGAGTGACAGTGGGAGGAGCAGCTACCTGCACGAGAGGCACTCCTGTGTGCAGATGCAAGGGCAGCTGAGGATGAATGTTATAGGGATGGCGCTGAATGTTCATCACAGGCGCATGAACACCCACTGGATATGGGAAGATATTCATAGGCTGGTGCTGGGTGTTCATTTGTTGTGGAATTACATTCATCTGTGGTTGCATCATATTTACAGGTAGCTGAGAACCATCAATTTGCTGGTTTGTTTGGTCTTTTAGGTTAGACTCTATCAAAAGAAAAAAGGCTTATGAAAAAAGCATGTCACAAATCTCCAAACAAAGCAAACAACTCATTATAATAAAATTAAAGAGCAATTCATAGACTCAGTACAGCAAAACCAATCTCCAATTACTTAATCTGGTCATCTAAATAATGTAGAATGATAATCTGACTAAAAATATTTAACATTACTTTTCAGAGTAAATTCATATAACAACATAGTCAACATCTACAAAGAATAAGTACTTCAAGAAAGTTACTGAAAAAGATCATAAAGCTTAACTGGTTACAAAATGCATATATATCCCATTTTTAACATTTTCAGTACCTATTTTTCTTGTACTGTTTTGCTGTTTTGGTTTTTGCAGTACCAGGGATTGAATCTAGGGCCTTACACATGCTAGGAAAGCACCCCAACCCTCCATTTGAGCTAGGCCTAAGTTTCTTGCAATGTTCTTACAAAGAAAAACCAAGAAAAGATATTTAGAAGAGTAACTTATTTGTATGAAAACAATGACCAACAAAAATTCAAGTGTACATAACTAAAATAAGTGAAATAGAAGTTAAATCCTGCATAGGAAAATCCCAAACTCTATTTCAGCAAACAGTATATAAAATATTTCACTTTTGCTAAAATTTGCAGTGAGGTAAAAGTAAATATTGATGTACACATGATGTGTACATATATAATGTAAAGTGACTTGTTACAACCAGTTTTCAGTTTAATGTTATACAAACTATTGATAAGGATCAATTCAATTCACACAAGTAGGATACATATTTGTAACTTCTCTTCAAGTAAAATAATCAATAAACAGAATGTTACCCTGTTCAGTTGTTTCCTCTTGTCTCATCCATCCAGACTGTTGACCGGAAGAATTCCTCCCTCGCCGTGAGTAATAATTTTGCACATCTGCTGGCAGAGTCTTTCTCACAGCCCAACTAGATGCAGATGTCCACCCTGACCTATCTGCTGGTGTATCAAACGAGAACTCTTGCTCACTTTTCTGTTTATAGGGTTGCTGTTCCAGAATCTTGAAAGACTCATTCCCTGAACTATTTGAATTCCCTGAGAGGGGTTTTCGGTTCTGCCACCTATTTTCGTTCTGATCTGTATAGGCAAGACTGCCTCTGTAAGCACCTCTACCACGGTTACCTCTACCACGGTTAGACATCCAACCTGAACCAAAGTTTTTATTCCAAGAATTCCCTGAATTTTCATTTCTGTTTTCTTCCCAGTGGGAATCTTTTAACTTTTCTGGATTTCTGGTCCTTGGATCAGGCCCAGAATTTATTTTTTCTGTTACCCAACTGGGACAGTCATTTCTATGTTTGTCAGCAGAATATGAATCATCAGCATCTTGACCGTCATTTTTTTCTTTTTTTATATTTTCATTCTGTTTCTCCGGGTCATTTCTTCTGTACCGATCATTCCCTCGTGGACATCTCCAACCATCATTTGTGCATCTTTCCTTCCACCGAGGAGAATAACTATCTCTTTCATTTCTACCAAAAGATGAACTCTTACTTTTTGTCCTAGATCTTGATGGTGACCTAGACCGAGATCTGGATCGAGACCACCTCCGGGTTCTCCTATCTCTGTCTCGATCTCTCCTCTGCCCATCTCTCTCATTTTCTCTCTCTCTGCTCTGGGACCTAGATTTTTCTCTTGAAGATGAATCTTTCAGCTTTGATTGAGATCTTCGGTTCTCTCTACACGTTTCTCTTCTTGGAGATGGTGAATTGGATCTTTTGCCTTCCTTAATACTATCTCTTTTTGGAGACCGAGACTGAGAACACCTCCTTTCTCTCGTGGTATCTTTTTTGGGAGACTGAGAACGAGATTTTCTGCGTCCCCTAGCAGATTCTTTCTTAGGAGATGGTGTTCGAGACTTCTGGCTTTCTTTTCCGGTTTCTCTTTTGGGAGATGGAGACTGAGAGCGTTTCTTTTCTTGTACAATGTCTTTGTTGGGAGACCAAGTTGTAGATGGAGAATGAAATCTAGACCTTCGAGTACGGGGTTTTTTGGCCTTATCTACTGTATCTATTGGGGTTTCAGATGGCTGAGATACAGTTTCAACCTTCTCATTTGCAGGATAGGAATATGGCATATTATTTTCAGAACTGTGTACCACAGAATTTTCAATCAGTTGCTTAGAATCAGCACTTACAGATGATTCAATTTCAGATTCGTTTTGGTCACTACAAAGTGAGTCACACTCCATAGGTATCATTTCATTGTTGTCCTCACTAAAATGCTTCTCAGTCTGTTCAGCGTGTGTATTAAGCAACTCTAGAGATCTGGGACATTCAACTACAGATTCAGTCTTTTCTTCTAAAGACTCATCCAATTTGGAGTTAGCTTCAGAGTCTTGAGTGCTATTAAAATTTTCACTTCCTGAAGTTCTAAATATTGCTGTTATTTCTGCATCTTTAGTTTCAGTATGGCCAACTGACTCAATCTCTGAGGTCTCAACTGTTTTTCTGTCCACTGTTAGTATAACTTCACCCTCAGAAGATTCTAACTTGGTGCTCTCTACAAGCTCTTCTACTTTTACAACTGAATCTTGATGATCAAGAATTTCCGCTGTGGGGTTCTCTATTACTTTTTGTTCATTAGTCACTAATTCTGCATTCTCAGGTATCTCACTGTGAGGACTAGATACAGGTTGGTGTTCTTCAATTTCAGATCCTGAACATGTAAAAAAATTACCTGGAGGCTTTGTACATGTCTTTACCTCTGATTCTGAAGATTCTGGTATCTGGTCTTGTCTTTCTAATGGATCACTTCCTTTTTCAAAACTATCTTTAGAAATTTCACTTTTTAAATTCAAAATGTCAGCCTCTACATCTGTATCCTCAGGATTTTTATCTTTTTCCCACTCTCCAACTAACACAGGAGGACCATCAGCACCAGAATATGAAGATTCTACTTTTTCCTCTATACCATGATTCTCCGTGCATTCATTTTCTTCTGTTTGTTCACTGCAGCTTTTCAAGCAGTTAGCAGACTGATTTTCTACATCTGTCTGCACAGAAAAAATGTTAGCACTTTCTTCTTTATCTGATTGTTGCTCTTTCTCTAACACAGGTGGTGTGTCAGATTCCAGTGTTTCTTCCTCTACTGAATCACTAGACGATGGTTTTTCAGGAAGAGGTGCAGATCGCCGAAGTTTCTTTTTTAATACAGGTGGTCTTCTTCCTCTTCTTACAGACTTCCGTTTTGGAGGCTGTCTTGTTTGCTTTTCTGACTCAGGTGAAGAGAAAACACTTATAGAAGGATTACTGTTACCTGGGGCATCACACCCAGAATTATTTGATGTTGGAGATATCTGAGATTGACTGAATGTCTCAGCTTTTGTGTTACGTGTAGATCTCCTTGTAGGAGTTGCTGCAGGTTTTCGTCTTGATCCTCTGGTATTTGAAGTGCCAGAAGTTTGTTTCTTTTCTTCTCCTTCTTGGGTATGTGCTAGTGCATATCCCTTGCAAGAAGGACCTGATAATGTTGAAAAACAAAACAAAACAAAAAAACTGTAAAGTATGCTTCAAACAGAAGCAAAATAGTTTTAGTTAATTTTAGTATAAAAGTATATAATATACTGAAAGAAAACATGTTGAAATTGTAAATACACAGCTAGTGACATCTGAGTAATATAAGGCTTCAACAACTTTCTAAAATGTTACTGAAATAAGTTATAACCATATTTAGATCCACGTGGGGAACTTTATATGGGGAAAATAAAAGGAAAATATATTCAATCAGGCAACTGCTATTTTTTTTATGAGATATTACTTTTAAGGCAAAAAGAAAAGTCAAGTTAGCCACAAGTAAAGACTCAGAATAGTAATTCTTAATTAACAGATATTACTTCAAAGATCTATGGTTTGGACACTACTTTTCTGAACAGAAAGGAAACCTCTAGTCAGTCCCTCAAAGTTTCAAAGTTTGGTACTAGGGATCGAACTTGGGTCCTTGCTCTTGAGATGAGACAGGTGGTAGCACCACTGAGCTAAATCCCCAGCCCCTATTTCTTAAAATTTTAAAGTGGACTGTCTAATTTTTAAAGTTGACAGATGAAGATGTATTTGCCATATACAACATAATGCTTTGAAGTATATATACATCACAGAATGACTCATTCTAGCAAATTAACATATATATTGGTGAGAACACTTTATATCCACTCAATACTTTTCAAGATTACATATAACATATTAACTATATAACATATTATTCTTCCTAATTCAAATTTTGTATCTTCTGACCAGTATTTCTCCAATTCCACCCCACATATCCCAGTTTTTGCTAACCACCACTCTATTCTCAATCTCTATGCAATCAACTTTTTCAGAAACCACATGAATGAAATCATGTACTTGTCTTTCTGTGTCTGGTTTCTTTCACTTCAAGTAAGGTCCAGGTTCATCCAGGTTGTTTAAATGACAAAATTTTCTCCTTTATAGCTGAACAGAATTCTATTGTATATTCTAGTTGGAATGATTTTAAAGACCAGTCATCACTCAATTATTTCCAGAAATATTCCAGAGCTACTATATTTTACAACTTTTCTAAGTTAGCAACACATTTCTATGAAATTGGAAGAAGCTAATGATATTTTTTTAAAAACAAAAAAATATTTTAGAAACTTTACCAAAATTTTCTAAAGACATGGTACTTGTTGGAAAAATAGTTCTTGGCAACACATAAGAAATGAGAGGAAGAACTTCTGCTTCAACATTCCAAGGTAAAAAACCAATTCTGAAAATTTAAAACAAAGATGGTTTAGTTTTTAAAAAATAAACTACAATTTAAAGTTATTAATTTGCCAAATCAGGTTAGCAATCTTAAAATACAATGCTTAAACTGTTTTGCCTAATAAGTAAAAATATAAAATAAGTTATTCATGGCTCAAAGATAGCTACTAATTCACTACAAAGGAAAAAACTTTTAAACCTCTATTTTTCTGTTAAATTAATGGCAGAGAGACAAAGACAATTTAATGCAGATGTTTCTTTTTTAAAAGGTTAGTATTTTATTACCAACTGTTATTTTTTATTCCTTTGCCACTCTAAAATCAACTCTAAATTACAACCTAAAATACAAAGATTTTAAGTATCATTTAATGATTTTAATCTATCTATAACCATACAACATTTCTATCTTTCTAGAAAACCCCCTTATATTCCTCTGAAAACTCCTTCCTTTCTAGGCAACCAATGAATTAATTTTTACCATTATATGGCATCTTTAAGTCTTGATCGGAGGGTGTTGGCCTTTCAAAGTTTTCAGTGTCACTGTGAACATGTTATGTCACCCCCGCCAAAATATTCTGCATTTAAACTGAATCTACTTATTAAGCTTTTTCTTATTTGCCAGTGCCAAATTTAGGTCTCCTAAAGAAGTTATTTCAGTAAGTATCAGGAGAGATTCTGACATAAGAGAAGATGAGCTTTAAAATATTGCACAACCTGTATATGTATAAAAATGTGTAACTGTAAGGAAAGGTTTCAGAGCATATGTTACATGGACTTCTAATTTTACTTCTACTTAAGTTCAATCATCATTCCTTGAGAGTGAAGGTCATATACACAGTTACAGTGAAAGATAGTCACAGTATGTTATAGGGAATTAATATAAAACTCCATGATCTTTAGGTAGGATATGTAGGATGTACTCAGCACTGCGCCAGTAACTTTGGGACTTAAAGGTCTAAACTAAAGAGCATCAGACGGCCAGAGCACACTAGACACTTGATCAAGTACTCACTGAGAAGATTTTGGGGAAAAAAAGGAAATACAGAAAAAAATGTTTCAACAGACAGCACACAGGTCAGGTCAGAATGGAGCAAGAACAGAAGGATGACAGGTCTGAATGTTATTACTAATAATGAATCTTGCTAGTCTGGTGCTCTCTCCTCTAAAACAATCTAGCAAAGAAATATCTAAACTCATTAAACAGATGAATTAAAGATTCTTTCCTTGACTAAGGGTCCTTTTACATTGTAATCTTCGTTATTTATCTGAAACATCTCAGTTTTAACAAAATTTCCTTAGGAAGATAACTACAGAATAAAATAACCTCATACTTAAGTATTAATGGTATTTTGTGTTCATCTCAGAATGTAAACATTTCAATGAACACTTCTTTTTTACCTTCCAATTCCAGGAAATGAATCAGGAAACCATGACAATTCCAGTTCCTGTCTCTTCTGCCTAATCAAGGCACTGATTTCATTGACTTCTATAAATTCTGTACTGAAAGATAAATTTAGACCATCAGAATTTCAAAATTATAGGTTAGAGTAACAACTGGATTATGTCAAGAGCAGTGGTTCTCCCACACAGTATTATGGGTCATATTTATGAAAATAAGAATTTTTTCCTAAACACTTTCATATAGACTCCTTAACATAAGCAAAATTTATCACAAATAAATTACCTGAATCCTACAATGCCTGAATTTGTATCATAGAATGACAGAATTCTTAAAGCATCAATTCAGACTAATAACCCCATTAGTGAGAGAAATTCTAGGTATAATAGTTTCCTTTTTAAACAATGCATAAAACAAGTGAAGAAAACAAAGAAAAGTATGGTTATTACAACCAAACACGGATACAATTCAGCTTTTCTAAAGATTACTCAGACTGTTTCTTTGGTAGTTTGCCAAGCTGTGAATTTAAATCACACAATCTTATTCTACTATGTAGGTCCCACTACCTCTATGTGATGTAAAAGCCCAAACTTAATCTTCACTTGATCTTCGCCAAAAAGCCTAGAAGCGATTCCAAACTTAGTCTTCAAATTCCACAAATATCTACTCTGCATCTACTCCAGTCATGGTGGATTCACAGATGACGGGATCTGCTCTAATGAGTTCTACTGTATTAGGTGCTACTCCAAGGACATAACAAACAGCCTCCCCATCACAGAACAAGACTACACAGAACAACGTATGGAAAACAAAGCTCACTGGCACTTGCAGGCTTTGTGTAACAGAGAAGCTCACAAAACAAGGTTTCTCTCTGCTAGAGGTAGTTTATTTTCCAAAAGAAAAACAAAACAAGATGAACTTTTGTAATTTTTAAATTTCTATCAAGTTAATTATGATTAAATAGTCAAGGATAAAAAGCATATATTAAAAGTAGAAAATACTAACCAGTAAGCTCTACAAGTAAAGGAAGATTCTCCATTGTGACTACCAGAAGAAAATATATTGGAGAAAAAATTTCTGAAATAACTTGTACACCGATTTGATCTTCGAGTCTAGAAATATAAAAAGTAGTTAGTAAAACAGGAAACAAGCATACTTAAGTACTTTAAGTTACTTAAATATTTGTATATATCTGAGGCACTAGTTATGTGCTATGTAACCATAAAGTGTTATTATCTAGGAAAAAGAATTTTTTATTTTAACAAACCTTATCTATCTTTATTGTTGCATTTGTCTTTCCTCCCTTACTGTATGAAGAGTTTCCTGTACAAAAACACAAAGGACTTGATTACTTTGACTTATCTTGTATTTTAAAAGGTTGTAAACCTTTAACATTGTCAAGAGAAAGTTAAAATACATAGAAATGACTTGCATTTAAACAATGTTCTCAAATGCTAATGTCATCTTATTAAGCCATGAAGATGAGAAAAATACAAAAGGTCAAAATAAAAAGTGCTATGCTCAAAGCACGTGACCATTAAAATTCTAGTCAACATTTTCTGCCACCCTATGCAACCTTAAACTATCTTGCAACAAAAGGCATATATACAAGTCATCACACTGTTTAGTATCAATGATATGCTTAGTATTTCTTTTGTGACCTAAAAGACAGGTACTGTTGGCTCATCACAGGCAGGACTTGAGCTGTGGGAAGTGAAGCCACCAGCCTCTACTTCAAGTAAGTATTCCCCTTCTTCAAAAAGAAGTACTGATTAAAACAGCTTTTCAGGACATGCAATCAATATTAAAAACTCTATAGCTTTTCTATTCACCAATAATGAACTAGCTGAGAAAGAAATCAAGAAAACAATTCCATTCACAATCGCTTAAAAAATTATCTAGGTAAACAAGGTGTGGTGGTGCATGTCTGTAGTCTCAGCACTGAGGTGGCTCAGGCAGGAGGATCACCTCAAGTTCAAGGCCAGCCTGGACTACTCAGAGACTTCAAGGTCAGCCTGAACTTCACAGCAAGACCTTGTCCCAAAAAACAGAAAACAAATCAAAACAAACGAACAAACAAAAACACCACAATCAATCAAGGTATTATACTAACCAAGTCTAAGACCTCTACGATAAAATTACAGAACTGAAGAAAGTAATTGAGAACACCGTAAGATGGAAAGACCTCCTGTGTTCATGGATCGTCAGAATTAATAGTTAAAATACCTAGGGCTGGGGATTTATCGCAGTGGTTCCTCCGCCTGCCTTGCAGGCGGCAAGGTCCTAAATTCAATCCCCAGTCCCAAAATTAAAAAAAAAAAAAAAAA